CAGAACCTGGTGCCGGGCGGTTGGAGTCTGATGCTGCCTCAGTAAATCAAATCAAAGGTGTGAGTTTGTCAGGTTTTCCAGTAGGTGGCGTTGCACCTTCAGCCCACAGAGCAGGGCACAATAACCTGCTGTGGGGCATCGAGGATGCTGCAGAGACTGCAGGAGAAACAGGACGTGAGCTCAACGTTATGAAAAAGTCTGACACAATGCGTAGATGAGGTGTCGACGACTCAAACGGCTTTGTTCACACACCGGCCTGCGTACTTTGCGTTTACCTGGAGGAATAAATGTGAATCCACTAGGGGGCAGACCAGAGCCGGGTCATCCCTCGCCAACACCGGGTCATCGTCCTTGACAACCTCTGAATATGCTCATTGTAAACAAACCGAACACGGCGACACTAGAGCAGGTTGTGATTTTAATGAGACGTCATAACGATCTCAGTAATGGCTTTTACTGTAAACATCCCGCCATAAATCTGCTTTTTAAAGACTTCTTCTTCTTTTGCGATGAATGGCGGTTGGAAAACCAGCTGCATGCCGCCACCACCTGGCTGCTGTGTGGAACAGGACATCGCTGCTGACCTGCCGGTCGGATCGACACGCTGGCCCCACGTTCATGTGCTGAACTGCATCTCGTGGACGCGTAGCGTTAATTCCTGGAGACGTGCACGCTCCAAAGGAATGCAGGATATGTGTGGCAGCCATCTTGCATACGCCAACGGGTAGTTAAAAGCAAGTATGTCCAGGGCTTGATACTTTAACAGCCCTACTCTGCATCTGATTGGCTCAGCCTCGCAATGACGTTTCTCGCTGTAACTGTAATGATTTCTTCCAGAGCAGTCCGTGTGTTCGCAGACAGCAGCTACGTTTTTATTAGCCTGAGATTATTGACAAGAGCTCCAGAGAAAGTTCAGCAGCCACTCAGGTGGTTAAAGAGATGTGACGGCAGCGAGCAGCCCAGGCTCACGGTGAAAAGGTACTAAACCGTGACTCAGCATAACAGCAGATCTCCTCTTCAAGGATCAGCAGACGGCCAGTGATTCATCAGACCTGCCTACTGCGGTCACAAACAGACAAACATATTTATTCATGAAAGAAGAAATTATTGCCGTGAAACATTTTGAGATAATTTGGTCTGCAGGCCCGTCGGGTTTGACAGATCGGGCTCGGGCCGCAGATACGCTCAGAGCACACCCAGGCTGCTCTATGAAATACTCTTACAGTGACGGGCGAGTCGGGCTCGTTGTTGGGCGGTGGCCGGGTCAGGGCTCTGATCAGAAAAACAAAAACTTCCCGTCAGAGGCAGAGCAGTACTGAGGAAACAAGTTGTACCTCAGGAAGTGAACTATTTCCTGTGATAGAAAATAACTGTCCAATCAGAGCTCAGCATGTACATTGGACTGCTCTAACAGTTTGTATCAACCAGACAGCAGCAGGAACCATAGCCAAGCTGCTGCACTCACACATCTGGTGTCTGGTTTCATGTGTGTGTTCCCTGTGTGTGTGTGTTAATAAGGGCGTGCACGTGCAGGCGTGTGTCCGCTCTGTTGATTCAGTGTCACATCAAAGATGAAACGTGCAGAGACTTGAACAATCCAGCATGCCTGCTCTCATTCTTACTGATTTTAATTCCTGCTTCATGCTGCATGAAATCTGCTCACAACACACAAGTTCTTACAGTTTATCAAAGCTCTGTGTCTGTGTTTATTAGTAAATGAAACATTAAAGCAGGAGGTGAATAAAGTGTAGTACATTGTTTTAACATTTTGGGAGAGAATAATAAAATCATCATTTATATCTAAACATTATATTGGAACAAAGTCTGATACAGCAACAAGTTCTAAAACTAATGGGGTTATGCTCCTGAGCTGGCAGCATGGTGCTGTTCTTAATGAACAGTAACAAAATTAGTATTCACTCACACCAAACCCAGAGCAAGCATCTAGCCTCAGAGTTGGAGGTGCTGGTCCCCAGTTGCCCCAGTAGCCCATGTAGTGGTAGAAAATGGATCTTCTTCAGTTCATGGCTGGTAAGTCTTGTATGAACATCTGTGAAATTGTAAGGGAGCAGCCTACCTGCTTCAACTGTTGTGTTTGCCTTCTGCTGGGGGCCAGATGTCTGAGACTCTCCTGCTGGGGGCCAGATGTCTGATACTCTTCTGCTGGGGGCCAGATGTCTGATACTCTTCTGCTTGGGGCCAGATGTCTGAGACTCTTCTGCTTGGGGCCAGATGTCTGAGACTCTTCTGCTGGGGGCCAGATGTCTGAGACCCTCCTGCTGGGGGCCAGATGTCTGAGACTCTTCTGCTTGGGGCCAGATGTCTGAGACTCTCCTGCTGGGGGCCAGATGTCTGAGACTCTCCTGCTTGGGGCCAGATGTCTGAGACTCTCCTGCTTGGGGCCAGATGTCTGAGACTCTTCTGCTTGGGGCCAGATGTCTGAGACTCTCCTGCTGGGGGCCAGATGTCTGAGACCCTCCTGCTTGGGGCCAGATGTCTGAGACTCTTCTGCTTGGGGCCAGATGTCTGAGACTCTTCTGCTGGGGGCCAGATGTCTGAGACTCTTCTGCTGGGGGCCAGATGTCTGAGACTCTCCTGCTTGGGGCCAGATGTCTGAGACTCTCCTGCTGGGGGCCAGATGTCTGAGACTCTTCTGCTTGGGGCCAGATGTCTGAGACTCTTCTGCTTGGGGCCAGATGTCTGAGACTCTCCTGCTTGGGGCCAGATGTCTGAGACTCTTCTGCTTGGGGCCAGATGTCTGAGACTCTTCTGCTGGGGGCCAGATGTCTGAGACTCTTCTGCTGGGGGCCAGATGTCTGATACTCTTCTGCTTGGGGCCAGATGTCTGAGACTCTCCTGCTTGGGGCCAGATGTCTGAGACTCTTCTGCTTGGGGCCAGATGTCTGAGACTCTCCTGCTTGGGGCCAGATGTCTGAGACTCTCCTGCTTGGGGCCAGATGTCTGATACTCTCCTGCTTGGGGCCAGATGTCTGAGACTCTTCTGCTTGGGGCCAGATGTCTGAGACTCTTCTGCTTGGGGCCAGATGTCTGATACTCTTCTGCTTGGGGCCAGATGTCTGATACTCTCCTGCTGGGGGCCAGATGTCTGAGACTCTTCTGCTTGGGGCCAGATGTCTGAGACTCTCCTGCTGGGGGCCAGATGTCTGAGACTCTCCTGCTTGGGGCCAGATGTCTGATACTCTTCTGCTTGGGGCCAGATGTCTGATACTCTCCTGCTGGGGGCCAGATGTCTGAGACTCTTCTGCTTGGGGCCAGATGTCTGAGACTCTTCTGCTGGGGGCCAGATGTCTGAGACTCTTCTGCTGGGGGCCAGATGTCTGATACTCTCCTGCTTGGGGCCAGATGTCTGAGACTCTTCTGCTTGGGGCCAGATGTCTGATACTCTCCTGCTTGGGGCCAGATGTCTGAGACTCTTCTGCTGGGGGCCAGATGTCTGAGACTCTTCTGCTTGGGGCCAGATGTCTGAGACTCTTCTGCTTGGGGCCAGATGTCTGAGACTCTTCTGCTGGGGCCAGATGTCTGAGACTCTTCTGCTTGGGGCCAGATGTCTGAGACTCTCCTGCTTGGGGCCAGATGTCTGAGACTCTTCTGCTGGGGGCCAGATGTCTGAGACTCTCCTGCTGGGGGCCAGATGTCTGATACTCTTCTGCTTGGGGCCAGATGTCTGAGACTCTCCTGCTTGGGGCCAGATGTCTGAGACTCTCCTGCTTGGGGCCAGATGTCTGAGACTCTCCTGCTTGGGGCCAGATGTCTGAGACTCTCCTGCTGGGGGCCAGATCTCTGATGACGTCTGGCCCAGCTGAATCTTTTTGAGAACGTCCTTGTTCCTTTCTTCTGACAATAAATAAAAGACTGGACAGTTTGTTGTCATCCATTAATTTGTTCGATTCTGCACAACAACTTGGCAACAGAGGGATGGATGAGGGATTTGAGACTCAGCTGATGGACAGCAGTCAGGTTACTGCAGCGTGGCTCACCTCAGCGTGGGTTCGCTCCGGCTTCCTCCCACCGTCCAAAGACATGCAGGCTAGGCTAATTGGTGTCTCTAAATTGTCCTCAGGTGTGAGTGTGAGTCTCTCTATGTGTGGCCCTGCGATGGACTGGCGACCTGTCCAGGGTGGACCCCGCCTTTCGCTCGATGTCAGCTGGGATTGGCTCCAGCCCCCCCGCGACCCTGTACGCAGGATAAGCGGTTGACGATGGATGGATCAAATGTCATCATAGCCACAATGGCCCCACACAAGGCTAATCTGTCTTTTTGAAATCTGAACAGAGAAGATAAACCTGGGATCTGGGATCACAGTGGGGAGAAAATCTCTCTCTCCCGATGCATACAAGCCTTTTTCATCTGTTCCAAAACCACCATAAAGAGGTGATGATGATTCTGTAGACAAGGATCCTAATTACTAATCCAGGCTAGAGATAATCTCTCTCCCATGATTCATGGGGTCAAACAGTGCACCTGACTGACTTGAACTGAACCCTTTTGACACAGTCTGCCCGTATTCAGGGACGACCAAGACCTGACCTCTGACCCACGTTCCTACGTAGGTTTTTGACCAAAAGACGGTTACATTACCTGGTTTGACACTGCATGTTGGGGGGAACCAGATGCCTGGTGCTTTGCTGTCCTGTTTCTTATTTTATAACTAGATGTTTGTCTGTTTTCTGCTGCCATTTCAAAGATCAAATGTTATCTGCACTAACAGACTGACCCCATTCCCACAGAAGAAGCTAGATCTGACATGGTCTAGAAAAGAAGGGAACCAGCATGAAGTCTGAACAAAGTAAAAAATTTCAACAATAATTGAAATAATATTAATTAGGTAGTTGTGGTTCTTTGAGCCAATGTGCTGTAGCCTTTTTTAATTTTTTAATTTTTTACTCTTGTGGGCAGCCAAACAGCGACCCAAATAATTTATTAAAAATTTGGAGTTTGCCACACCCACCATAAATATAGTGTTCAATACAAAGAAAATATTACTATACAAAAAACATTTTTAAAAAACCTTACAGATTCAATGAATGTCTTTAAATGGAATATACCAATATATAATATGCCCATTTTTACAATAATATAAAAAAGAAGAGGCAGAAACATTTCATTATTGAGGAATAGATTCTTGTTTCTTTATTTGGTTCCACACAGTCTTCATGGCTCCACACACACAAGTCACAATAATAAAACATGAACAACCTTTTTATTCAGCACAGTGTGGATAAAAAACGAAACCAAAGCAAAACACAAAGAAACTCAGTGAAAGCATTTTACATATGAAAAGGCCGACAGCAGAAACTAAAAGCTGATTGTCAAACTAAATAACAAGTAACAGAAAATACAACCAATAAAAAACAACAAGTGAAAGAAAATAAAGTGATTGGAATAATGTCTTTAAAATGTGTTTGGTTAAATGTTAAAATGTGTTTGGAATAATGAGACAGCAGGAGGACAGGTGCAACTAAACAGGTTAAATTCAGAGACTTTTCCCTTTAAGAAATCAACAACATCATGAATATAATCATCCTCTTTATCTCTAACTGCTCTGTTCCACTGTCACACAGACCTTCACTGCTGACAGCTTCACTTCACCCACAGGGCTAATCAATGGAAACAGCCTCTCAGTGAAAGTGTGTGTGAAGGTGTTTATGTTTGTGTTAGTATCAGGATCAGAGAACAACAGCTTTCCTCTGTTCCAGTCCAGATTCACTCTGATCCTCTGGAGCTTCTTCCGGACTTTGAGAGCAGTGAGTGTTGATGGTGACCGTGCTGAGTATTTACCTCCAGACAACTCTATTCCCCACAATCCAGACTCTTTGTTGTCTCCCTTCCTCTGGACAGACTCTGCTAACACACCCAGTGTCCAGCCTGTACTGGTTCCAACCTCGACATCCCAGCTGTGAGTCCCTGAGTTAAAGCCCTCAGAGCCCAGGACACAGTAGTAATGATCAACCCTCTCTGGATTGTCAGGAAGCTGCTGTTCGTTTCCTCCTCTCACACTGGTCAGATCTTCAGACAGGATGAGATATGGATAAGCAGTGTTTGGGTCCAGAATGAGAGGAGTGTAGGAGACCATGTCCTTCATCTTGCTCCAGATGTTGAAGGTCAGGTTGCCCAGGTGTTTGGCCTGGTCTATCAGAGCTCCTGAGGGCAGCTGTGGATCATCCAGCAGGGGGCGCTGCTGGACTCTTTCCACTGCAGCCTTGTAGTTGAGCAGGAATGAGACGTCTTCAGCTCTCAGCTCCTCCTCTGTGGCTCTGACTGTGTCTGAAAGAGCTGCTATCTCTCTGCTCAGAGCCTCCATCTTCTCCTTCATCATCTGACTCTTCTGCTCCTCTTCCTCCCTCAGTGCAGCCATCCTGGCCTCCTCTTCCTCCTCTAGAAACAGGTGAAGCTTCTTGAACTGCTCCTTAATCTGCCTCTCTGTGTGTCGGGCCTGGACCTTCATGTGTTCTGCTGTTTGATCACACTTTACTTTAACTTGTTCACAAACCTTTAACTTCTCCTTTAAGGGCTCCAGAGTTTCCTGAAGTTCCTTCTTGTGTTGTCGTGCAGCTTCATCGACGGGTCTGAATCTGTGCTTGCTGTGTTTTTCTGAAACACTGCAGACGAGACACACTGGCTGCTGATGGTCCAGACAGAAGACTTTGAGTTTCTCAGAGTGCAGACTGCAGAGAGCCTCTGAAGCTCTCTGATCTCTCTCCTGTAAGAAGGCCTCACACAGGTTCTTCAACACCAGGTTACAAGGTGGTTCTTCTAGTGAAGATATTGTCTCACAAACTGGACACTGACGTGCTTGTTTCTCTGTCCACCAGCTCTTCAGACAGACTTTACAGAAGCTGTGGCTACATAACAGAACAACAGGATCTCTGAAGACCTCATGGCAGACCGGACAGCAGAGAGCCTCCTCTGATTTAGAAGCCATTTTGTCTCTGATGAAGCTGAAAAAACACAGAAGACAGCAGATTACAAAAGGAAGTCAGTTGTGTTTCCCTCCCTGCTGTAGAAAGCTGCCTCAGTTACTTTCACTGTGAGTCTCTGAGTGTTTCAGTCAGCAGCAGGTTGAAGTACTTCAAGTACTTCAGTAAGTACTTCAGTACTCTGTCCTGTAACTGTCCTCCCTCAGTTGAAGTCTCAGCTTTGTAATGAAGGTAAATCTTACCGTCTGTCTGTCGCTGTGTCTCTTCTCTCTGAGAAATGAACAGGAACAAACTGTTTCCTGGTTTGTCATGTGTCATGTGAGGGGGAGGGGGGCTTTGTCAGTCCACTGATGTGTTTCATCTTAAAGGGAACAGATGATAAATATAAAGTGGATGCACCTTCACTGTCAGAGAAGACCACCGAGACTTCCTTCGGTTCCTATGGTTCAAGGACAATGAACCTGGCAAGGAGATTGTTGAGTACAGGAGGAAAGTCCATGTGTTCGGCAACAGCCCTTCGCCAGCAGTAGACATCTATGGTCTTCATCGCGCAGCGCAACATGGACCAAGTTAGTATGGCTCAGAGTCCCAACACTTTGTGGAGCGCACCTTCTACGATGATAACGGCCTCAAGTCTCTACCAGCAGATGCTTGCCGGCTCAAATTTACGCCTCCACAAAATAGCGTCGAACCACTCTGACATCTTGGACGCCTTCCCACCAGAAGACCATGCAAAGGGTTTGCAGAACCTGGACTTCAATGACAATTCAGCCCTCATTCAACGCAGCTTAGGGCTCAGCTGGATCTTAAACCTGACATCTTCACCTTCAGAAAAGCATCCACCGAGAAGCCGTTTACCCATAGGGGCGTTCTAGCCACTGTGAACAGTTCGACCCTCTTTGATTTGTGGTCCCAATCATTACGTGAGGGTCCAAAACATTATTGATTATTACATTAAATATTATTCTGTGTAAAATTATAAAATATCTAACGTGTCAGGAGAGAAACCTGACTGGCACCCCAAAAGAAACCCGTAAGTCAAACTGTCACACACTTCTGGCACAAGATGTGTACTTACCCTCCTCCTCCGGGAACCTTTGACAGCACAGATTTTCACCGCCAGCAGTGGAGACGGTTGCAGCATCTGGCCAACACGTTTTGGAGCAGATAGAGACGTGAGTACCTTCCTATGCCGCAAAGCCGAAGCGAGGGGCAGGACGTACGGTCTAACATTGAGAAAGGTGACCTGGTCCTGCTTAAGGATAACCAGGCGAAACGGAACGAATGGCCCATACCTCTGGTTACAAAGACATTCCCTGATGAAGATGGGAACGTCAAACTCAAGGTCACAAGATCTGGGTTAGCGAGGACCTTGCTGAGACCTGTTTCTGAGACGATCCTTCTCAAGAGTGCAGAGGAAACAAACTGATTTAGTTCCCCCTATTATTCAGACACGATAAGGTTATTCGTATAGTGGTATTTAATCAATACCAGGCAGGGAGTGTCATGTTCTGTTAGAACTTTGCATTTAGTTTGTTACTTTCTCCCCCTGAATAGTTTCTATTAGTTTAGCTGTTGAGCTGCACGTACAATATAAGTTATTTACAGCTATCAACGTACCAGCTGAATGTAATACGTGTATGTTACAACTTTGTAGCTTACCTGTAGATTATTTTATGTCTGTTGATGTCTGGCGTGTTTGAACAGCATTCAGTGATTGGTGCTATCTCTCTGTATCATTTCAGTTTTACAAAAGTCCTTCATGAGAATTACAACAGTAAAGAGCCTTGTGTACAGTCACACACACTGAGGACAGAATACTGAGATCACATGTCATCATGTCAACATAACTTTAACGGAAAGAACACCAAGGAAACACATTTATTTTACCTTGTTTTAAAAAATGTTAAAGAAAAATGTAAAACATGACAACAATAGCAGCACTGCTATCACCTGTCATACCATTACTAACATATTAATAACTTAATTTATTTTCCAAAACACAAAATTGTAAATGGAGCAGGGAACAGAGAGAGTGGTTGATGCAAAACCAGAGAAACCTCTCTGGAGGTCGGCGGGGAAGGAAAATCTCTTCTGGAGGCTGGACAAGAGGAACAGGACTCGGCCAGACCAGAGACAGAGAGACAGGAGCAGGTGCCGGCCGGGCCGCCTCCAAAGAACCAGGAGCAGCCTGCGCTTCAAGTCTGGGGAGTCCTTAATGACACATGTGACCGGACTGACTCTTGTGAAGCTGAAGGAAGCTTTAGATTCTGCTCCTGTTTTAGGCCTCCTTAATATGTCAGAAGTAAGTAGGGTAAGTAACACAAGGCAACGCTGTACAAGAGACTCTCAACCTACTCTGACGTTGTCTGGTATTTATTCTGTACTCTTTAGTTTAGGCTGTGAGATAGATCAGGTTGAGTGAGTTCAGATACTGTAGATCCTTTGAGATAAATGAATCACTAAGTGCATGCTAGGCTGTTTAGAGGGCGTTAATTACAGTGTGGTGGTTATATTGCATCGATTTATGTTGTACGTTATAAAGAATATTCTTATGTATTCCTGTTCAGATTAAGATACGAGTGTTGTATGATGTAGGGGGAAAAGTTAGGACAATTCCAAAAAATAGGTAAAAACTAAAACCAAATTATATTTATATAAACCATCATCATTGAGTATTTTAAATATCATAATAAAATGAATGATCTCTTTGTTTTTGGCAATAAAAGTTAAATATCCCCATTGACCAAAAAGTAAACCTCCATATTGACCGACCCACCCCTGTATCTGCATGAAATGGTTTGGTCCGGCCTCAGCATGCTCATCAGTGACGTGTTTAGCTGTAGTCAGTAGATGAGCCAGAAATAAAGTGATCACAATGTTGCCTAGTAACCAAACTCTGGTTTTCAAAAAAGGAAAGAGAGAGAGGAAAAGGAAATGGTGTCACTCTGTAAGCCAGTTTTACACCAAGAGTCTGTGAGTGGTGTTAACCTTCATGTCCACAGTGAAATAAGCTAGCTAGACTGGTGTTAGCCTACATTTCATCAACATTTAATCAGTTCAGGGAAAAGTTTAGCAAGATATTCATATAAATCATGTCCCCGCCCCTTTTAGCAGACTAACAACAGATGAGTCAGCAGCAGCCCAGTCTGCCCAGAACTGTAGCCTCCCTGTCCCAGTGAAGAAGGGGAGCAGCACTGTGTTACTGACAGGCCAGTATGCATCATGCCAGGGAGGCTGTGGGGATTTCTCTGGCTCTTTTTACCAAAAAGACAAAGTCACAAAGTCACATAATGATCATTCTGAAATAAAATAAAACAACCTCCTGTCTGTACTGGATGCTGAACAGCAGCTTACCTCTGCCTGCATGTAAGTTACAGACATATTAAAATAATCCAGTTTGATACGTTCATTTAGATTGAATTATGGCCTTTAAATGGCATCTATAGATAGTTAATTTTACTATAAAAATACATTAAGACATTAAAAGATTGCCTTAAGGACATTTTTATGGTGACTTTTAATCTAGCATCAAATAGTGAACTGCATACTGTATGCATACTTGCATGTACAAATCCCCAGCAGTAAATATTGTGCTAGTACACTATGTGTAACACTATTTATTATTTAAACTGGATTGTACTTTTGTTTATTGAAGGAAAACCACACACACAGGTATCGCTGTAACACGTTGAACCATCCTTCGATCGCGACTCTAATTCTCATTTCCTGTGTAAAGTCTAGGCCTGTGCTGGTACTTCAGAAGTGCATCACGGCTTTAAGTAATGTTCTGGCCGACACTCCAGGTGGAGAGCGGTGATAAAGAAGTCCTGCACACCAGCAGTTATCTCACTTGCAACTCAATTACATTTTCCATCCACAAGAGTCTATTTCAATAACTGTTGTTGAGCTAACTCCAGATAGACAAGTATTGTCTAGTCAATGTGTTGTCTAGAGCTTTTTACTGTAAACGTGCAGATGCAAAATCAACTGCTAAACATTTGTTACAGGACATCATTCCAAGGAGAGCAGAAAAAACAAGCATTGATCTGAAGTGACATTGTGCCATGTTGTCATCCAGAGGGTTGAGTTTGCTGTTGTAAGAGCTAATGGGGTGTTAAAAACAAGCTCACAGAAATGATTGAAGAGACACAGATCGATTAGATTATCTCCTCCTAGTGCCAATGTATATGAGGGGCAGACACCATTCTAACATAAGTTGTGTCCATGGGCCAAAGGAAAACTTACAGACCAGGTTCCTGTAGACAAGGGCGTCACTTTGTGTTGAAAAGTTGTGGGGACATAAGGGTTCAGATTAGGAGCGTGATGATACATTTGGGTCATAAGACAATGTTTCTTTGAAAAGAACACCGTACGGGCTTAGTGGAGTCAGACAGACAGAAAATATTCTGGAAGGGCTTGTATCTCCAGCACGTCTCTGTCTTCTTGTTCCTCGCCATCATGCCTGCACCACATCCTCCTTATTCTTAACTCCACCTGTTTGTGAGTGGTAAAACAAGTTGCCCAAGCTCCACACTGTGAGTATCAGTGTTTTTCTGTGGCTTTGCCCATAAGTATTTGTTTTTTTTGTATTACTTTGGGAATATTTATTGATGAACTGAAAACTTTTTCTTGTGTTTCAATGGATGTATAACCACAAGTGTTGGTTGTGTTTTCCTGAACTGGTAGAAAGTCTATGAATGCACGTTATCTTGAATGTTGATTGCCTGTGTCTATTTTGGTGTACAGTATAATTTCTAATCACTGTGAACCAGGATTGTTGAAGCTTCTTCCTGCTACTTATGGTTTAATTCTATGTGGACAGAAATTGTCGTATATCTACGCTATTTTGCCGAAGTTTTAGGACACCCCTCCGAATCATTGAATTCAGGTGTTCCAGTCACTTCCATGGCCACAGGTGTGTAAGATCAAGCAACAAGGCTGCGGACTGCTTCTACAAACATTTGTGAAAGAATGGGTCGCTCTCAGCAATAAGTCCATTGGGGAAACAGTGCGTCGAGAGCTTCATGGCCGAGCAGCTGCATCCAAGCCTTACATCACCAAGTGCAATGCAAAGTGTCTGATGCAGCGGTGTAAAGCACGCCACCACTGGACACTAGAGCAGTGGAGACGTGTTCTCTGGTTGCCAGGAGAACGGTACTTGCCAGACTGCACTGTGCCAAGTGAAAAGTTTGGGTTATGGTGTGGGGTTGTTTTTCAGGGCTTTGCCCCTTAGTTCCAGTGAAATGAACTGTTAATGCTCCAGCATACCAAGACATTTTGGACCATTTCATGCTCCCAACTTTGTGGAAACAGTTTGGGGACGGCCCCTTCCTGTTCTAACATGACTGCGCACCAGTGCACAAAGCAGGTCAATAAAGACCTGGATGAGCGAGTCTGGTGTGGAGAAGTTGACTGGCCTGAGTCCTGACCCCATCCCGATAGAACATCTTTGGGATGAATTAGAGCGGAGACTGTGAGCCAGGTCTTCTCGTCCAACATCTGCACCTGACCTCACAAATGCGTTTCTAGAAGAAAGGTCAAAAATTCCCATGAACACACTCCTAAACTTGTGGACAGCCTTCCCAGAAGAGCTGAAGCTGTTGTAGCTGCAAAGGGCGGGCCAACTCCATATCAAACCCTACGGATTAAGAATGAGATGTCATGAACCTTCATGAGCATGTAAAGGCAGGTGACCCAAACTTTTGGCAATATATGGTATATATATCCTTGTAACAGGCATACGTTTGTGTGTGTTTGTTTGTTCCTGACTGGCACCCCATAAAATACGCAAATAACAAAATAGTTGCGTACTAAACCGTTACAACATGCCCGAAATATTTGTGTTAACACAAACTCATGCGTACTCTAACATGTATAACTGGATTATTAGACAAGAGTGACATCTTGTGGTCAGACCTACTGTAGTTAGAGAGCTGTAGACAGCTTTGAAGGAACTGATGGAACAACTGCACTCTTTCCTGCTGCTGCTTTTGTTGGGAAACCTCTGAGAGCACAGCCAACAGAGTTTATATACATCTGCTGAGTTTTGTCCAGTTTTAAATACAGCACATTTGGCAAGTTAAGAGTGAACTGTTGCCTAATTACGAAACGAAAAAAGATTGAAAGAATTCCTTATTATTTACATGTTACGTCAAACTTTCCAATATTTGTTACTAACCATAGGTTGCAAACATACTTACTCCTGATACTTAGCAATGCAGCCAGTTTCTTGACTCTTGAACGGTCCGGTACAATGCCCGCATTACTGCTGATGCACCAGTCTGCCTGTCCATCTCCTGCTCCATTTTGCCGTCACTCGATCCCGAGATACTTAAACTTCACTTGGGGCAGCAACTCACTCCAGTTTTCCAGCAGAGAACCGTGGCCTCACACCTGGAGGTGCTGATCCCCAGTTGCTTCATACTGTGAGAAAGAAAACAAATCAAGATCCAGCTCTGCCTTTGATTTAATATTTTACCCGGTTTTAAGACACATTTGTTTAGGTTCCTATCTTTTTGTCTACACATTTTAACTGGATGACAGCTTCTTACTTCTCAGATGTTTGGAACCTTTTATACACAGACTGGATGGCCGACTCTGGACTGCTGCCAGTACAGCAAGGTTGGTTTTAGCCCATCATCTAAGCTAGCCAGTCCCTTTTACGGAGGACTTTAAACTTGGGCACAGGCACTTTTAGTCATGCCAGCTCTCACCTCTCCAGTGGCTCACTGTGAGGGTTGTCTTCGGCTGAGCCAGATGGTTACTTGCCCCTGAACTCTGACCCACGTTCCTACTTTGGTTTTTGACCAAATGACGGTTACATTACCTGGTTTGACACTACATGTCGTGGGGAACCAGATGCCTGGTGCTTTGCTGTCCTGTTGCTTATTTTATACTGAACTAGATGTTTGTCTATTTGCTGCTGCCATTTCAAAGATCAAATGTTATCCACACTAACAGACTGACCCCATTCCCACAGAAGAAGCTAGATCTGACGCTGTCAGCTCGTTTCCATGTTGTTGGTTAACCCTTTTTTCCAAAACATGGTCCAGGTGTTTGGCCACAGACCACATGGTCTGTTTGTGTTATCAGACACTGTGAGCTCCAAGGTAAAGACTCATTCAGAGATGGTGAGACATGCTACTTTCTATCCAGAGCTGTATTAAAGAGATTGTTGAGCAAAACAACTACTGTAGACCAAATCAACATCTGATGCTGTAATAATCCATATCTTTCCATACCTTATGATGGACTGAACAAAATAAATAAAACACTGTCTTGTAGTTGTTGGCATATTCAGTAAATGGGTTAAAGGTTTCCATAAACAGGAGGCCAGAGCAGTGGGAGATGGAGGAAACATTTATTACAACCAACAGTTCAATCTAGTTGTTAACATATGAGTGTCAACATCAGAGAAACGTAATGCTTTCGTTGTAGAGAATTAACAGATACAGATAAGAGCAAACTCATTATGATTCATTTATTTTCTGTGGCAGGGCCAAATAAATCAATAAGTCAGAAGCATGCACACGTCATGGTGATATAATGTGACAGCAGGAGGACAGGTGCAGCTTCACTGGTTAAATTCAGATACTGTTCCCTTTAAGAAATCAACATCATCATGAATATTCAGAGACTGTTGAGCTCGTTACAGAGACCTGCCCCATCAACATCTTGGTTCAAGCACTCGGCAGGTGGTCCATGTTCCGAGCGGTCAGCGCAAGACTCCGGCAAGATGAGAGGAGGTAAATATCATTCCCAAAAACAAGATAACTGCTCTATTCCACTGTCACACAGACCTATACTGCTGATATCTTCACTTCAGCCACGGTGTTTATGTACGGAAACATCCTCTCAGTGAAAGTGTGTCTGAAGGTGTGTATGTGTGTGTTAGTATCAGGATCAGAGAACGGCAGATTTCCTCTGTTCCAGTCCAGATTCACTCCGATCCTCTGGAGCTTCTTCTGCACACTGAGATCAGTGAGTGGGGCTGGTGATGACTCTACAAAGTATTTATCTTCATAGAACTCTATTCTCCATGGGTCCAGAATCAGGGGCCCGGAGGGTGGACTGCCTGGAGGCGGTGGAGGCGTCTCCAATGCGGAACGAATGCCCACAGTACAGTTCAAAGGTGTTGGTGAAACCAGAAGTGTGTGGCTACTTTTCCTGTCTCTGTCACGAACAGAGGATCTCAGGGGAAGCGTGGATAGCTAGTCTCGAGTCCACATAGAGACATATGGGTTCATACGGACTGAGGTAAGAATTGAGTTGGAAGAGGTAGATGGTTTGCAGTAGACCGTACTGGTTGATTTTGCAACGTGATAAATGACAATGTATGGAAAAGTCGGCCATGGTGGCGTGTAGACTCGGATGCTAGTGGAGGCTGGAGGTGATAAACTAAAGCCAAAAAATGCCTGTAGAAACATGGATTCTAGGATTCTGTCCACGTACAGAGTCAGATAACCAGATCGGACGGTCGAAATGCAGCATGCCAAGAGGTCTGAAGTGAGGGGTAAACGTTTTGGCAAGGGACGTGGTTCGATCTTGCAGAGGCCTTTAGTTAGCATGCTAATGTGTGAGTGGAACATAGCTGTGATGGTGTCTCTGGAAGTCATTTCCAGGCGTTCTAGCCGTGGCGTTAGTTGAAGATGGTCGCAAAAAAAGGTGGGACTGGAGTCAGAAAGGGATCGGAAGCTGGCGCCAATTGCTTGAATTTCTGTAAGGAGAAACAAGAAAGAGAGTCAGCAATTGTATTTTTGTGGCCTGGGATATGGGGTGCTCGGATGATGAATTGGTGCTGTGCTGAAACCAAGGAGAGCCGTGAAGGCATTGCATTATGTCTAGGCAATGGGACCATCCCCTGTTAACTATGTCTACCACTGCACTGTTGTCGGAGTAGATTGCAATGGTTTTCTTGGACCATTTGGACCCCCAAGGAATGCCTGCGATAATGACTGTGTACATTTTGTAAATGGTGGAGGAAGGAGAGAACCAACTACCAAGTAGTAGCCGCCAAAGCCGACAGAAGGGGCAGCAACTGTGAAGAGATGAATGTCTTCAGGTTTGGTGACGTGGTCATCGTGGAAAAAGGAAATGCCGTTCCAGGATGAAAGGAAATGGTGCCACAGTTCTAGCTCCATCTTGCATGGAGAGATGGGACAGAGGTGGCTGTGGGAAGGAGATATAACAGGAAGGACTGACCTTGTGGGATGATCCGGGTGACGTAGTTTAAGTGTCCTAGTAGTGAGAGAAGTTGGCGTTTGGTGCAATGGTGAGCCAGAAGGAAATTGGAAATTAGTAAGGAAACAGCGTAGATTTTCTCAGAGGGCAAGAATGCCTAGAGGAATACTGAGTCGAGATGAGACTGTTGATTCATGGACTTATTCTGAACGTAGGAAACAGTGGGCACATCATGAAGATTTCTTTGACTTCTTTAGCCAGGAGTTTGTCGAATGTGTCTGGGTGACGGCTGACTGCAAGTCACAGGATGAATGAGGTAAGGCTTGCAAGCCCGAGTAGAAGCCATGTGTGAAGCCCTGTATGAGGTAACAAACAAACAAACTGACGATCTGGGTGATTCTTCAAGGATGTGGCAAGTGCATGGATTAGAATGGGTTGTTGAGATACTCACACATGTTGTGCTTGGTTGGGTTGTGGGGGCAGGTTGTTCTGGCGTGGGTTTCGCCACAGAAAGAGCATGTGTGAGGGAATCTGCAGCTTGAAGCGGAGCAGCCTAGTTTGTTAAAATTGTTGCACATCATCCTCCCCGTCTGGAAGAGGACTGGTCTTCCTTTCTTATCCAAGCCTTGTGGGAGAGGGCCATGGGTGGTAGGCTGCGTGCAGGCTGGTTTAGGAGTGATTGATGGCGAGGGTGCATGCTGAGGCCGGATGTGATGGCACACAGCAAAGGTCCCTTGGCTGAGATGAAAAGAGGACATGGAAGGTGTAGAAACCGTTGCCACCGAACCGCAAGGCCAGGTCGAAGATCAGGGACAGGTAATCATCCAGCTCTGACCTGCGGTCGGGGAAAACTGAAAAGAAGAAAAAGAGAAGCCAAATTCTGCTGGTGAGGAAGTGGTTGCTTAGGTTTGATAGGGCCGAGAGCAGTTTGCAGTTCCCTTGGAATAAGCGGGTTATGTAAGGATGGATTAATCAGTGAAGCGAGGTCAATGTGGTTACCGGCGAGAATCTGTTGCCTGAGTGAGGGTGACACTGGGGATGGTCAGGCTGGGGCGCGGGGCGCACCGGAGGTGTTGTTGTGGCTAAGGTGAAGTGATTAGAAGGGGACGGATATGTGGAAAAACCGGCAGGAGTGGCTGTGGGTGGACCTGTGGAGAAAGTGGAAAAGTCACACTGGATGCATTTGGGATATGGGGAGGGGGAGGTGGGTAGGGTATGGGGAAGGGAGGGGTAAAGGATAGACAGGAGAAATAGTTTGGCCGCATGTGTATTTGGACGGATGTGGTAGCCGGTATCGAGGTAGGAAGGACTGATGAAGCCAGAAGAGATGGGAAAGTAGGAACAAGGGAAGAAGAAAGGATGCTGGGATGGAGGGATGCATGTGCTCAGGTTGATAGTGAAGCTTGGAGTGAAGAAGTAGAGAAGAGATGAGAAAGAGGTTGGGGTGCATCAGAGTTTGATACGACCTGGCCCTGTTTGAGGGCTGATGTGGGGTTGTATTCAGTTTCTTTTGCCATGGGATGCGCCGCGGATCATTGGAAGCCACGGAAGTTGCGCTGGTGACCTAGAAGTGCTGGGGAAGCTCGGCTTGAAGAGTTGTGTGTGTTGTTGCGTGTCCTTGTACTGTTGGACACTGGAGTGATGAAAGGAGATGTTCCTCTGGTTAAGTTCTTCTTTGAGCCGGACGACTGTCTACTCGGAAATTTTTGGAGTGGAGGGACAGTCGGAGTGTTGGCTTGATGGTCGCATGTAGCGATAGCTTCGCTTGTCGTGGCTGTGGCTTGGAGTGCTGAAGCCGGGATCTTGGAATGGACAATGTTGGAATTGCTGGAGACTGTAGGCTGAGAGCACCGGGGAATATGAATGGCTGAACACAGCCGACGTTTCAGACGAGGTTGTTAAGAGAAGAATCCGCCATAACTGATGTTGGATGCTCGTCGAACATGTCGCTGTCCTATGGATTAGGAACGAGTGCTGAGTCCAATGTTGGAGATTGATTTCGATTGGTTTGTCACGGCTCATGAGAAAGCTGAGTCAAGAGGAGGTGAACGGAAATGGTGTGCTTAAATTTGGTGTTCCCAAATCTAATTTCATCACACTGAATTTACACGTCACTATGTAAATATAACTGGCTCAGAACAGGCCTTTCGGGGGTGAGTGCACGACAGTAAGCATGATGGGTATGCATACAGTAATCTTATGAAATCTATGCATTTTTATTGTTTTTTTTCTGACCATTTGATAAAGAAAAAATATATCCACGACTTGGAGTAGTAACAACTATTGATTAGTCTATAAATAAATATTATTACATTAAATAAAAATTATAATGTTAGTATAATAATATGCATTTATTGAAAGTTATTTCTTCTACATGTTTTTTTTTTTTTTTTACAGCATTCAGTGTTGAAACGTATATTGTAATAGGCTATAGACTATATTAACTTATTGGGAGAAAACTGGTTGAGCACCCCCATATCGCCAAAATGGCGGCAAATGTTTCACTGCGAAGCTTCGACTGTGAGATTGACAGTTGAATCAGGCTCCGCCCATCGATGCATCGAATCTTCGACTATTGGGGGTCAGCCCTAATGTACTGACAGTGTTTGATATACTTATTATTTCCACGTTGTTGATGTTATATTCATGGTTGGATAATTATATCTTTAGGCCACACCAGGGTTTGTGTGTGTGGATGAACATCTGTGAAACTGTTATGCCTCTCTGTTCCCATGGGAAGTGGAATTATCATGGAGCTGCTTTAAATTTTATTTTTGTCCCCTGATGTCTGATCCTGCCCTAGGTGGCAGACGTCTGACCCAGCTGAATCTTTTTAAGTACTTTGTTGTTTCTGTCTTCCTTAAATTAATACCAAAAGACAGCTGTTTGTTGCAGTCCATTTATTTGTTCAATTCTGCACCAGGAAATATACAATTCCTACGAGACATGAATCCTAAATGCCACAGAAATCAGTAATAAATCATCATATCATAAATATGTTTTAATTTTCATCAGAAACATATTTGATTTTGAGACTGTTAAACGTGCATTTAGAAAACTGCTTTATAATAATATCATTAATAATAAGTAGACTGTGTTGGATCTGAACAATGATCGGCTGCTCAAACATTGTTTCTTTATTTGGTTCCACACAGTCTTCATGGCTCCACACACAAGTCACAATAATAAAACATGAACAACCTTTTTATTCAGCACAGTGTGGATAAAAAACGAAACCAAAGCAAAACATAAAGAAACTCAGTGAAAGCATTTTACATATGAAAAGGCCGACAGCAGAAACTAAAAGCTGATTGTCAAACTAAATAACAAGTAACAGAAAATACAACCAATAAAAAACAACAAGTGAAAGAAAATAAAGTGATTGGAATAATGTCTTTAAAATGTGTTTGGTTAAATGTTAAAATGTGTTTGGAATAATGAGACAGCAGGAGGACAGGTGCAACTAAACAGGTTAAATTCAGAGACTTTTCCCTTCAACATCATGAATATAATCATCCTCTTTATCTCTAACTGCTCTGTTCCACTGTCACACAGACCTTCACTGCTGAGATCTTCACTTCACCCACAGGGCTAATCAATGGAAACAGCCTCTCAGTGAAAGTGTGTGTGAAGGTGTTTATGTTTGTGTTAGTATCAGGATCAGAGAACAACAGCTTTCCTCTGTTCCAGTCCAGATTCACTCTGATCCTCTGGAGCTTCTTCCGGACTTTGAGAGCAGTGAGTGTTGATGGTGACCGTGCTGAGTATTTACCTCCAGACAACTCTATTCCCCACAATCCAGACTCTTTGTTGTCTCCCTTCCTCTGGACAGACTCTGCTAACACACCCAGTGTCCAGCCTGTACTGGTTCCAACCTCGACATCCCAGCTGTGAGTCCCTGAGTTAAAGCCCTCAGAGCCCAGGACACAGTAGTAATGATCAACCCTCTCTGGATTGTCAGGAAGCTGCTGTTCGTTTCCTCCTCTCACACTGGTCAGATCTTCAGACAGGATGAGATATGGATAAGCAGTGTTTGGGTCCAGAATGAGAGGAGTGTAGGAGACCATGTCCTTCATCTTGCTCCAGATGTTGAAGGTCAGGTTGCCCAGGTGTTTGGCCTGGTCTATCAGAGCTCCTGAGGGCAGCTGTGGATCATCCAGCAGGGGGCGCTGCTGGACTCTTTCCACTGCAGCCTTGTAGTTGAGCAGGAATGAGACGTCTTCAGCTCTCAGCTCCTCCTCTGTGGCTCTGACTGTGTCTGAAAGAGCTGCTATCTCTCTGCTCAGAGCCTCCATCTTCTCCTTCATCATCTGACTCTTCTGCTCCTCTTCCTCCCTCAGTGCAGCCATCCTGGCCTCCTCTTCCTCCTCTAGAAACAGGTGAAGCTTCTTGAACTGCTCCTTAATCTGCCTCTCTGTGTGTCGGGCCTGGACCTTCATGTGTTCTGCTGTTTGATCACACTTTACTTTAACTTGTTCACAAACCTTTAACTTCTCCTTTAAGGGCTCCAGAGTTTCCTGAAGTTCCTTCTTGTGTTGTCGTGCAGCTTCATCGACGGGTCTGAATCTGTGCTTGCTGTGTTTTTCTGAAACACTGCAGACGAGACACACTGGCTGCTGATGGTCCAGACAGAAGACTTTGAGTTTCTCAGAGTGCAGACTGCAGAGAGCCTCTGAAGCTCTCTGATCTCTCTCCTGTAAGAAGGCCTCACACAGGTTCTTCAACACCAGGTTACAAGGTGGTTCTTCTAGTGAAGATATTGTCTCACAAACTGGACACTGACGTGCTTGTTTCTCTGTCCACCAGCTCTTCAGACAGACTTTACAGAAGCTGTGGCTACATAACAGAACAACAGGATCTCTGAAGACCTCATGACAGACCGGACAGCAGAGTTCCTCCTCTGATTTAGAAGCCATTTTGTCTCTGAAGCTGAAAAAACACAGAAGACAGCAGATTACAACAGGAAGTCAGCTGTGTTTCCCTCCCTGCTGTAGAAAGCTGCCTCACTTTCACTTTGAGTCTCTGAGTGTTTCAGTCAGCAGCAGGTTGAAGTACTTCAGTAAGTATTTCAACCTGTAATTGACCTCCCTCAGTTGAAGTCACAGCTTTGTAATGAAGGTAAATCTTACCATCTGTCTGTCGCTGCGTCTCTTCTCTCTAAGAACTGAACAGGAACAAGCTGAACAGGTTTGTCTGTATTGAGGAAGAATTGTTTCCTGGTGCTTCTCAGGTGAGTCAGGTGAGGGGCGGAGCTTTGTCAGGCCACTGATGGGTGTTGTACCTTAAAGGAAACAGATGATAAATATGATTCATCACACTGAGATCTCATATCACTATGTCAACATAACGTTCACGGCGTCCCTCCCTCCTCTGATCTGGAAGCCGTTTAGTCTCTGATGAAACTGAAAACATACTGATAGTACAGAAAGTACAGACTCAGTCACCACATCCTTGCAATTGAAAAAGGGAGGCAGTCCTGGTTACCAAGAGAATATAGAGTCTGTGAGGCCTGTACGACAGCTGAGGTGGAGAAATGTGATAAATATAGAAGCATGAGAAAAATAAATTTCAGAAATTCCATCTCTTAATACCAGATTTCAATGAACTTCAGGATAAAAATAAATAAAGAATAATCATAAACATTTGTTTAACTTAAACATGCATGCCAATAAAGCACAGGGAATCAAACTGATTAGTACATTCAGTCATGACAGCCCTTCTTGTTGTTGTAGTTTTTCTCTCTTGCAGCTGAACTCACTCAGAGGAAGTTGTTAGTTTGATCTGAAGGTGAATCTGATCATCTGTTTTTCACTCTGTGTCTCTGTTATGAAGAATAACTACTGTTTCCTGTCTCGGGTGAGTCAGGTAAGGGGCGGAGCTTTGTTAGGCCACTTAAAGGGAACAGATGATAAATACGATGAACATGATTTCACTAAGAAGGACGTAGATTTGAGATGGTTTATTGCTTATAATGGAGCTGAGATGGGATTGTACGAAAAGAATCAGAACCAGAAGGAGCTTTATTGCCAAGTAGTGTTTTATACATACGAGGAATTTGCTCGGTGCTGCAGGCAGACAAACATACAGTTGACATAAATAAATGTAGACACATCTAAATATGGAATGGAAGAACAACGTTGCAGATATATACACATTTTTATTCTGGGTCTGTGCCGTGCAGAAGTAACGCAACAGAAGAGAATATTGTGTACATATAAACATATAAACTGACAACATCAAAATATCCAACAACAAAGATCAACAAATATGTGCAACGTGCCGGGTCTGAGCCTGACACGAGATGAAACAGCATTTACAGAACGATCGAGGGCCCGGAGGGTGGACTGCCTGGAGGCGTCTCTGATGCTGAACGAATGCCCGCAGTACACTTCAAAGTTGTTGGTGAAACCAGAAGTGTGTGGCTACTTTTCCTGTCTCTGTCAGGAACAGAGGATCTCGGGGAAGCGTGGATAGCTAGTCTCGAGTCCACATAGAGACGTATGGGTTTATACGGTCTGAGGTAAGAATTGAGTCGGAAGAGGTAGATGGGTTGCAGTAGACCGTACTGGTTGATTTTGCTACGTTTGAGGTGATACAAGACAGTGTATGGAAATGTCGGCCATGGTGGCGTGTTGACTCGGATGGTAGTGGAGGCTGGAGGCGGTAAACTCTGTGGCAAGAGAAGGAATGGCCGGGAAAAACCTTGATGCCTGGGTGGAAACCGCAAGTGAAACCGTTGATGAGGAAGTTCAAAAACTGGCGGTCAGGGTGGTTCGCCAAGGTCGAGGGCGGGGATATTTATGGGTGTTTTAAGAAATTGCCTTAGTCATAGACTGGGCTTGGTGGGGTTGTGAGGGCAGCCGTGACGAGCATGTGCGCCACCGCAGAAGGAGCAAGTGTTGAGAAAACGGCAGCCTGACATGATGCAACCCAAGTCGTTGAAGTTATTGCACACCATGCGGCCTGCCTCGTTTGTCCAAACTGAGAGGGTGAGGACCGAGAGCTGCTGCAGGCCTACTGGTCTGCTGGTTCTCGAAAAATGTTTAGGAACGAGGGGAGGTGGGGGAGCGGCGGAACTGGGCCTAGGGACGGAGGTGGGGTTGTAATTGGGGGGGGAACAGGAGCGGTGATAACGCGGATGGACGCTGGGTGTGATGGGGCACCGCCCAAGGTACAAGCGAGAGAGGAGCGAGCAGCAAAAACCCAGCAGTAGAGTTTGGTGTCGCTGGCTCCCCAGTACGTGCCGAGGTTAAACTGGTGAAGGCGGCTGGCTGCTTGGGAAGCAAAATGGACGTGATAAGTGAAAAACCCCGTTCCGCTGAACCGCAATGCCAAGTCCAGGATGATGGAAAGATAATCGTCCAGCTCTGCCCTGCGATGGGGGAAAAGTGAACAAATTGTGTCACGATAGAGGGAAAAGGCGAATGGCAGAGAAAGAAAAGGAGGAAATTGTGTTTTTTTTTATTTAGAGAAACAGGGACAACGTACAATAAACATTAACCTCAAAGGGGAAGATGCATTGTACCGGGTTTTAGCTCAAGAGCTAATTTTCACCCGTAGTCCCTGCAGGCCGATGTTAAGATACATAAAAAACATACATGAATAATAAGATTTACAATGACAAAATAAAAATGTACAAAAGGAAATATAGCACACACTTATATACACACATACATACATCTGGTCACATATGGGAACAAAATTGATTTAATAAAAGCCATTTCTTTGCCTGGCGTGTAAACGTGTAAGAACTTGTACTTTTAAACAACTCTGTAGGTAACATATTCCTCTGACGAGCGGCCACACCAGAAAAAGCAGAGTTTCCAAATGCTGTCCTGCGTTTAGGGATCCTGCTCCCCTCGCACTGTAGATCTAGTGGCTCGAGTTGTTTCAGAGCCCAAAGAGATAAATTGTTTTAGAGGAGCAGCGTTGTCATAAAGGATCTTGGCCTTGGCTAGCTGTAGCCGCGGTGGAGGAACCTGCATGAGAAAAGAAATGAGCCGCCTGTTCGGAAGAGATGGCTGTGTTGGAAGGAAGTGAAGGACAGGATGTTGGGATGAGGGGATGTGCGTGCATGGGTAGAGAGTGCAGCCTGCTGAGACGTGGATGAGAGGAAGAGGGAAAACAAATTAGAAACATCAGACAACGGGGGAGCAGGCGTAATACGACCTGGCTCTGAGGGAAGGAGCGGGCGGCCGTATGGTGGGAGGAGGTGAAGGACTGCGGTCACGATGACCGAGCCGTCGAGGAGTGGGTGAGGCAATGAACGGGGTTCGGGAACCGCGGATCGGAAGAGGAATAGCTCGTCGTCGAGGTGGTGAGGAGGAGTTCGTCCATGGCGACGTAAGCAACAATGTTGATTGCTGTGGAGCTGAAGTTCTAACGTCGCGTGGGAACGTTTAGAGAACTGAGACAGTGAGAGAGAGTTTGGGCGATCTTATGTATGTGGTGGTGATTGGATTCGCAGGTGTGTGTGATGGGACACGGGTGGTTTAATCAGTGAGGGGGAAGAGGGAGGCGTGGTCCTGTTCCTGAACCTCAGTTTACATAAGGTGCACCAATCTACGGTGGAAACTGAACACAAAACATTTTAAAGTATACAAATGAAAGTGAGTGCAGCTCTCAGATCTGTTTCTCCTGAAGATCAGCTTCTCTCCTGTGAGATGGTCTCTGCTGAGGCAGCACACATGCAGGCGTGATTCAGTCTTAAGGTCCACATCTCTAAAAGTCTCAACAGGTGGAGACAGCAGGAAACACTGACATATGCACATGTGACTCAAAGCAACCTGATATCTCAGCCTGTGCCTTTATTATCATGCAGGCAACATTTTAATAAAAATATAAAATCTCAGATTGCGGCCCTGATTCTCAGACTACAGTTCTGCCTTTTGGTTTAAATTATTTTCTGGCTAATTTGCTGCTGTCTGTTCACCATCTGAACAGTAAAGTTCAGTCCTCACTTCACAACACCGGCTGGCTGTATGTCAGTAAAGACAGAAGAAGAAGAAACACCGTCAGGTTGAGCGGATGGTACTGCAGGTAAACATAGACGTAAATAAAAAAGCCGTTAAAATAAAAAAAGGAAGAGAAACAGAAGATGAGCTGGCAGCGACGGCCCTGAAAGGAGACGGCATTCAGACAGATGCTGCTGAGATACAGAGAGGATTTATAATCAAAACGTTTCACTGGTTGTCAACGCAGGAAGATGAAAGAGTTATAATCCAGAAGATCATTTCAAAACAAATTTTACTGGACCCTAAGCCTTTTCTGTCGGGCTTAGTGAACATCGTTTCAGCAGAAGTTAACGAGACCTCAGCTCGCTGTAGGACAGAAAATGTGTTGCACCAGACCGATGAAGTCAGGTTTTTGTCATCTGGTTCCATATTTTGAGTGGTTGGTTCTTTACTTCCAGTTTCTATTTGTTTGTGTGCCTGTCTGTTCTCTCCTTGTCTGTGTCTTAGTCTTAGTCCCATGTCTCCATGTTTGTGTTGTCCTGGTTCCAGTTCCCTGCCCTGGTTTTACTTTGGTAACTCTGTCCTTGTGTGTTCCCACATGCTTTACTTCCTGTTTTAGTTTGTAGTTTCTGCTCCTGGTGTGTGTTGTCATGTTTTACTTCCAGTGCTTGTCTGATTGTTTAAGTGGGTTCACCACCTGTTCGCCTGGTTGTCTGTCTTTCACTCCTTGCCAGTTCATTGTTGTTGTTGTTCATGTGTTCTAGTCTAGTGGTTTCCCTGCCACAGGCCTCCGGTGTTACTCGTGCCTCCTGTGTTTTTTGTGGATTACTTTGGATTATTCACCGGTTGTGTTTTGGACTGCTTACCACCTCACCTGTAAGTTTCACCGTGTGCTGCAATAAACCTCACTCATTCACCAGTACCTGCTCAGTGTCGTGGCTGAGCTGACAACCACGGTTTGAAAGCATTCGCTAAAAGTTTTCTGAGAATTAGCTTGCAACAAGAAATGTTCATTCTATGAGAAAGTTGTGCTTGCACAATAAGAAAACATGCTCTGTATGTAAATACAGAAGAAACAGATCTGCCTTGTCCAAAAAAAGTAACTTAGGCTAAAAATACAAGCTGCCGATCACTGCGTTATGTTCAGTTTCTATTTTCTGAATTGTCACCGGCCACCTTTTGTTTCCCTTCATGTAAATAAAGACGTTTCCACCACAAATTAGAGCAGAAAACGTCTTCAGAATGCAGGAACTGAAGAGTTTAATGCTCAAAATCTTCTGGGGGAGGAAGTAGCCTTTTTCATGGATGAGTATTTCTTCTAAATAACACTGGAGTCTCTCGTCTTGTTCTCCTGACTTCAGTATCGTGCATGGGGGGGGGGGGGGGGGGGGGTTGTTGTTTTGTATGTCACTGTGTTCAAGCTGAAGATCTTTTGTTAAAACAGGATCAGAGAGGATGAAGATGGAGCTGGAAGCTGCAGATTCTTGGACACATCAGGAGAAGAGACACCGACTCTGAGCTGCAGAACCTGTTCCATCCACGAGGAGGCGGTAAGGAAACATTTCAGGATGCCGACCGCCATTAAAACTCAACGGAGAAGAAGAGAACCGGAACCGGAACCGGAACCTTTCCACAGACGCTTCAGTGCGGAGCTGTTATTCGGTGACACTCTGCGATCAGCTGTTCGATCGGCCGCAGCTCCACCGGAGGTTTCCCGTGAATCAGCTGATCTGACCGTTTCCCGCCGGTAAGTGGCTCGTTGTTGACAAACAGCTGCCGCTGGTCTCAGGTGAAGACAAACTGCCAGAGGACACGTTTAGAGAACAACCGGCCGCGTAGCTCCACGTGCTGAGCAGAGTCCTGTCCTGACGCTGGGGACATCTAGGGGCCCCCGGTAGGGCTCTGCTTCCTCCCCCTGCAGACTCTTCATGTTCAGGCAGCAGGTCACATTTCAAAAGATCTAGAACAAGTTTCATCTTTTCTCCTGATCCGGTCCTGATCCGGTCTCCGGTCCTGATCCAGGGAGACGACAGGAACTTGTTAAAGTTTCTGACTCATTTTAGAATCAGCAGCTTGTTTTTTAAGCTGAAGTTACTTTTTTGTTTCTTCTATATTTTAATTGCCTGTTTTCTTGTAAACTTTCCTGAAGGCTTTTTCATTTGTTATTTAACTGTGAGCTGCATTTCAGAAGGTTTTTAACTAATTATGCTTTAAAAAGCGGTGGTGGGGACATGTCCCCGGCGTCCCCGGTGTAAATGTCCCCTACGGTACCAGCACTTACTGTTCCTACTATTTATTCGCTGCTACTGTTAATCATTACTCTGCTGTTAATACTGTAAAAACTGTTCATAATAACTCTTATAAATTTCTTTGATGTGCAAAGTGAGCAAAGAATTTTCCCTCGGATTAATAAGGTGGTTCTGATAATTACTAAAAGTTCCACAGACTGAAGATTAAAGCGTGAAAGAGGTTCAGCTGTCGTCATGTGAGGCTCGTTAATTACTTTCTGCACCAAACCAGATGTTTTAAACTCGGCAGAACTTGTTGACGTTTCCTTTAAAAAGGCGTTCGTTCGCCGGCCGGTCGTCTTTTGACACGGATGAACTGTTCAGCCGTGGGTTGTGATATTTTTAGGTGACGGGTTGTTGTGTCTGTGTCCGTCAGAGCCAGCGGGTCGTCATGGAGCCGGCGTGCCGTAAAGACAAGCCGAAGCTGAACTCCACCCCGACGAGAGGAGACCGAGCCAAACAGAAGTCCGCTCAGCAGGAGCTCAAACAGCGACAGAGAGCGGAGGTGTTTAATGATCCCGGATCTGCTGCCGGACGCTGTCCTGGTCTCTGAGGGACCTGGTCTTTCAGGTGTATAATCCCTGCCTGCGTTCTGTGTTTGCAGATCTACGCGCTGAACAAGGTGATGACGGAGCTGGAGCAGCAGCAGTTTGAGGCCTTCTGTAAACAGATGCAGTCACAGGGAGAATGAAGAGTCCCGCCCCCCTCCGGACCAGGACCTCCAGGAACACGACGTGCGCAGCAGGCCGCCGGTGTGCGTTTAAATATCAGCCTTTTGTCAGCTCGTCTTTCTGTACTGAACCAGGTTTTACACAGATTGTGGTCTGTGAAGGACCTCTTTCAAGAAGCACCAGCTGCTAAACGTTCAGGAGACTTCCGGTGTGCGGTCAGGGTGAACGCTAGCCGCCCTCGTGCAGCCCCGCCCCCTCCTGCGTGTTTTGCATCTGACTCAGAAGTAAAAATGATGATTCTGTATTTTAGCTTAAAGAGCACGCTGAGCCTCTTTCTGTTTCTTATCTCAGCGTTTTCATTCTTCTTAATTCTCCACCTTCAGTGTTTCCTCCAAACGGCCCCCCCGCTGTCCCTTCTCCCGGCCCGCCGATCAGCCGGCCCACGTTTGGTCCCGTCTCTGGTGTCGGCTGAGCGTCGGGTTACTGCTGCTAGTGACGCGACCAGCTACACCCGCGTCATGTGATCGAACGAGCCGCACGCACCGTGTTAGACCTGAGCATTGATCGGCCGCTCCAACGCGCAGCCATTGATCACCTGACTCTTGTTTCTTGATCTGGATCCACAAAGCGGCTTCTGGTCCTCGTGGCTCCACACGCACGAGACGAGACGCCAAAACACGAACCACACAGAACATCACACGGCTGCCGTCCCGCCTCCACTCACTCAGCTCACGCAGTGTGCACCATGTCGTCTGAAGGCCCCGGGGTGTGGCCCCCGGGGTGTGGCCCCCGGGGTGTGGCCCCCGGGGTGCATCTATGGGTTCTTTTAAAACCTACATGTTTAGTTTCCTGGTGCTTCGTAATGTGCATGTTTGATATCACGTTCTTGCCCCTTCGGTCTTTTCCTGTATAAACTGTTTGTGTAAAGTGTCGCTGGCTGCTGTAAATAAAGTTTATAGAAATCCAACCTACGTGTCTGTGTGAGTGTAAAGTCCCAGCATGCATCTGTACACTGGAAGACATCAACTACAGGAGAGGAGTTTTATATTTCTACACCTGAAGGAATTACAACAAAATACTTTTATGTTTTTTCCTGGAGAACTTTATTAATCCAGACAAACATTTAATAATAATAATAATAATAATATTGTCACTAATATATAATTTATTATTATTTTATTAAACCTTTATTTAACCAGGAAAATCCCATTGAGATTACTAATCTCTTTTTCAAGGGAGTCCTGGCCAAGACAGCGGCACAGATCACAACAATTCAGTACATTTCAGACAATTTCATAACAATTTCATAAGACTATTTAAAAACATTTACAAACCATAGATTTCATTTCCAAACCTTTGAGCAAGAGTTTAAATTGGCCTATAAATTTAGATTTTTAGGTGAGTAAAATCGTGTTTTCTGTCTTTAGATGGAAGTAGTACTACGTATGAGAGTGTTTTTGGGTTCTGAGGGTCCGGGTTTGATGCTGACCTGTTTCCATAGAGACGTGCTCTGCCCCTCCTGTGTGTGTGGCCGTGTCGTCCAGCTCTGCTGTGATTGGTCCAGCCTGAAAGCAGGTTGACTCGTAGTCAGAATCACCTGAGCGAGTGTTGGTGAGCGTGGAGGTCCGGTCCTCTGACCTCCTGTGGACCTGCGTGCACCCTGTTTATCTGCTGTGGTGGGGGGGGCTGATGGTCACTTCAGGGTCTGGGGCCTCCAGGAGCTGGAGCCTGGAGGAGAGGACCCCAGAACATGTGTAAGTCATATCTTTGATCTGCTGACTGAATATTAAGTTTTATAAAACACATTCTGACTCTAAACTGATGAAGCTGCCGACTTTGTTGCTGAAAGGAAATGTGGTTCTGCTTTTTCTTAAATCAGCTCCTAGTTTCCGTTAAACTGGTGGCACTAAACCACCAGCTGGCCCCCGGTCTGGCCCCCGGTCTGGCCCCTGTGGGTCAAACAGGCTCACACCGCCGCAGGTGAGGGTGTGTCCTCGTTTTTTAGCTGACATTTGAACTTAAGGTAAACGGAGTAACTGCAGTAGGACGGAAAGGACTTCAGTGTCAGTGCACACGTTTCTGTTGCACTGTGCCGTCATCCTGAACGTTAAATATATAAAAGATAATTTACAGAGGGTGGAGGCGGTGCTGCAGTGTTACAGCTGTCCTTCACTCTGGAGCTCCTCCCACAGGGCGACTCAGAGGACAGGTGTGGACAGGTGTTGGGTCCTGAAGGTGCCCCGCAGAGAAGATTCAGTCAGTCTGTTCAAAGCCTTCAGTGGATCTGAGCAGACCAGAGTTCTTTTCCAGCGTCCGTAAGAAGTCGAGCTGCTGTTGAGTCAACCAGGACGGAGGAGCTCGCTCATTAAAGCCTCTCCACTTCCTGTCCCCTGACGGTGCGAGTTCTTTTGTCTTTTGGGCGTTCGGTGTGAGCTTACTCTCACTGCGCTGTTTCACTGGCGTTGCAAATTTAAATGATCGTGTTGGTGAACACGTGGAGATGAGGAGACTCCAGCTCAGCACTCGGCTGTAGTACCGTTTAGAGATGTTTGTATTTGAGTACATGAGTAAATGAACATTCCAGCACGGCTCCGTGTTTTTAGTGAACCGGTTAACGATAGTGAACACCTTCAGAGCACAGCTGACGTCTGCAGAGATGTTAAGCGTGGATCTTTTTAACTGAGTTCTCATGTGCTGCTGATGGTCGATGTTACTGACCCGCTCGTCATGAAGGAGATCTCTTCTGTAAAACTCCCTGCTGGGATTGATCCAGCGATTTATCAGTGCAACAAACTGAAAAGGTGAAATCATTATACCTGATGATGGAACAAATAAAAGCAGCTCCAGTAAACGAAGTGAAATCTGGACGGACTCTGCAGATGTGGAAAATGTTTCGTTGTTTTAGGAACATAAAACATTTATTTATTACTGATCAGTATAATCGGTCTGTTTCGTTCAACAGTTTTAGTTTAGTAAGAAAATGACTTTAGAGAGCTAAACAGCTCTTAGGGGCTCACATACATGTAAAAACATAAACCCATGAAAGACTCACATTAAAATATCAAAACACAAACTCTTCCGTAAACAAATAGGAGCAGTCGAACAACGCTGCGTTACAAAGTGGAGGAAGTGCAGGAAGGTCTGGGTGGTGCAGCTGGTCGCAGGTTTGATTGCTGTGGACTGCACTAACCTGCACCAGTGTTCACATTATTGTGTCCACTCTCACTGAGCGATCCCCTGCAGCTGACGTCTGTACCGGTCACATGTGAACTCCAGGGGGCAGCGCCGGCGCAGGAAAGCAGCAGGCTGCAGTTCTCTAGTGATCCAGAGAGGGGTCCAGCTGAGACCTCAGCTGAACCAGCACGCGGGCTTCCTGCCTCCTCTGATCCTGGATCCAAGGGGTTTCAGGCCTGCTGGTGTTTGTTCCCACCTGTGGCAGAAGTTCACTGATTGTTTCTGGGGTTTCTGGAAGCAGCGCTCTGCCTGGCATCGTGTCCTCGTGGGTCCGTGTGGCCGACCACTCGTGTCAAGATCAAGAAGACCTGGTAAACTGCAGGAGGGTTGTTTAAAGGAGCCGGAGGAATTCAGATCGTTCATGCTATACGATAAACTCTGGCCGTCGCTCCGTCAGCCCACTGCTGGTTTTACCTGCGTCCTCTTGTGACACAGAAGGCTGGATCTCAGCCTCCAGACTCAGGACTCTGAGGTCAGACCTTCAGGTGCATGAGGGCTCTCTGCAGACTCTGCCTGAGGGAGTTACCCACAGTTCATAGCGTTGTGACATTAAACAGTAAACAAACATGGAAGGAGCAGCTACGATGAAACGATGACGCTGTACACTGATTATTTGAAAATTAGCCCTTCGGATCAGAGAGTCGGCGCCTCGGCACGTCAAGGTAACCTGAGACGTCCCTTTAAACCAGGTAACTCTGTGAGGGTCCAGGCTTTGGGCTGGGATCCAGCTGTGGTCACATCATCACGGCGCCCTCCTCCTGTGAGACATTTTATGTTGTAAATAATAAACTTTAAAAACATTGAGTTTGGAGTCTGACCTTCAGGCTGCTGCATGTTTGTCGAACCGTTCGTCCAGTCGACCTCACAGGTGGCGACACGTTCAGAATGAATAAACTGCAGGACAGCCGCTCCGCTCTACAGCAGCGAGGGCGGGGTGCGTTCACAGAGGGCGGAGCTTATACGCTCTGACGTGGTTATCGCCACCACGCGGATCTGATTTACGTTAGAAACCAATGTGTTGAAACGGAGTTGTAAGGAAGAGCTGAACGGGACCTCCGCCACTGTTGTGCCGCCTCGCCGCCTCCCTGTAAAGCTTGGGGCGACCCCTAGTTGGGGTCGAGAGCCTCAGGTTGGGAACCAGTGAGACACCAGCCAGGTACGTTTCTTTTATAGCTAGAAAACATGTTCCTCCTTCAAATTTAACGTTCACTGTTGTTTTATTTCAGTCTTTCTGATTTTACATGTAGTTTTTTGTGTGAAGCACTTTGTAACCACGGTACACAAAGGGCCAGTTTATTAGGTACACCTAACTGGAACAAATGCAGTCGTGTAAAAGTCCGTCATGAAGGTTTAATGTTCGCCGAGCTGTATTACATTATACATGTTCCCGTTGTGTGGATGTAGTTTGAGCCTTTTAAGTGCAGGTGATTAAGACGAGTCAGAACGTGATCCATCACCTCGCGTCTGCAGAGCTGCAGGAAACTCGTTCAACCTGAGCTGACCAGCTGACCTGACCTGCCGCGAGGACACAGGTTCATCAGAGGGGCCTCTGAGTCTGACCTTTCTCTCATTATCTGCCTCCATCCCTGCAGGATACAGCCAAGAAATGGAGGGCTGATGAAATATTAATGTGGAATCATCGGCGGTCCAATGAAATCCATTAGGAGCCTCAAATCAACGGGAGGAGTAAGCACTGCCAGACTGGCCCCCCCGACTGGCCCCGATGGAAATAATGGTGGAAAAACAGTCTGCAGTGAAAAGCTGGTGGAGAAGAAGTGCAGTGAACGTCACACTAAAGTGCTGCTGCTCTCTCGCCTTTCTATACAAGTGAAATGTCTTTTGAAGAAATATTCCAGCTTCTAAAATGAGCTGAAATGTCGTCTGAATGAATGTTTAGCTGAATGTTGTGCAGAGCTGAAAGTCTGCCGGGCAGCTTTGTGCTCATACGAGGAAACTGACTCCAGTCTTACACAGAACAGCAGCTTTTTGGTGGTCTCGGTCTTGGACAGAGAGGACTCGGGCGGGGGCGGAGCTAGACTCTCAGCTCAGTGGGGGTGGAGCTTCATCACAAAGTAATTTATAAAAAGTTAGAAAGTCCACTGAGTCCGTCCTCGTTGATCGCAGCCACTGTAGTCGATGCTTGTGCTCACACTCCGCTCCTCTCTGGAGAGAATGCAGCCATTTTCAAAATAAAACACCGATCGGATTTCAACAATAACCACAGACAAAGAAACAGTTTAACTACGTAGCTACTTAATCATAGTAGAAGGTCAAAACGCAAACACTTATCACCAAATGAACAAAATCTAACTGTTTCTTTGTCAACATCCTGACTTTGATTAGAAGTAAAACTTATTGCTTCAAATGTAACCAATAACCCTAATTAAAAATATGTTGTTCCCGCCCCCCTGGGCGAGAAGCTGTAGCTGCCCGGGAGCAGGAGGACATTTAGCTACCTAAACTATACTCACGCAGACGGCCGGGCCCACGTTATTAGCTAAGGTACGCTACGTGACGTTAGCAGAGCTAGCTTACCTATGTATATGCTGTCAAAGTTGCTCGCCACAATGCAAAAAGTCAGCTCTCAAAAACAAGGGAAAAAGTATTAAAATGGGGGAATATTACTTAAAATAAGCAAAATTATCAGAACAAGAATATTTCACTTGCTACTTAAGGACAAAAAAACGTCAAACATAAAATAAAAGCCGCCTGGTAAGAAAGAAATATCTAAAA